GACGTCGTCCTTTAATTACTAGCCATTGAAAAGCACTTCCCTGTTACAGATCACACATGACCGATAATGTAGAACAAGAAAGAAAATAGCCCTTAAAAAAACTCGGACGTGGGAGGGTCCCTTCTTCAGAAAAGAATGTACAGAAAGTGATTTTTATAAGGGCAGATAACAGCCATCTTTTCTAAAAGTACAGGAGACTTCTGAACATATATTGAAAGAAAAGATTTGCAGGCACACTGTCTGTTGAGATCCTGCATTTGGAGAGAATTAAAAGGGCCAGCTAGTCGCGAAGCATGTCAAAACTATTTCATGCTTTCTAACAATGAGGATAACCACTCTAAGCTAACTCAGTGGGGTGTTAATGGCAAGGAGAAAGGCTTACCCAGAGTAGTTCAAGCCTTTGAAAGAAAAGAAAGAGGGAATTAGTTTAGGGAACAAGTTAAGTCATGATCACACATCAAATATGTCCTCAGCAGGAAAATAATTTTTAAATCTAATATCTGTCCACACTAAAGACTGAAATAAAAAGCACGGTAAGTGAAAAGCCCACAACAGAGTGTCTTGAATTATGCACGGTATTTTGTGAAAGTTGTAATTCATGTGTTACACATGCATTCTTCCTATTATATATTATACTTTTCTTTTAAAAAGAAGCCAATCCATTTTTTTATGATAGAAAAACAAATTTCCAGTTTTTTTTATGTTGTTGTTCCAATTTTTGATGGCTTTGCAAAGGAGGTTGATAATTTGCTAATAGTAGCAAATAGAAACTTTATTCTCAATCCCTTCGCGAACAGGGAGGTAGTATTTCACCTTCAACAGAGCAATTTGGTTGCTAATTTGGCTATAAAGTCAAATTACTTTATAATTAAAGACTAACAAGTTGGCAATCGTATCTGGTGATTCTAGCTACACACCATCTACAGTGTACTACAGTGTACAGTGCTTCCCAAGTTAGAACTGGGATTCAAAACAGAAGCAATGAAGGAGTCCTTAAGAAGTCTGGTCCAATTGTCATGGTCCCCAGATTTTCAAAGTAGAAGTCCTGGTATGATTTTCTTAATTTGCTGTGGCCATTCTGAACCATTTCTTTCTCCTATTCTGGTGTCTTGCTAATGTCTACTATGCTTTATCTGAGGAAAAAAGCAAGAGTCAGATGTGTAAATTGCTCTACACATGTATTTGCATGAGCGCTCTGGTAATTTAATGGGTAAAGAGTTGTGCTGCCAATCCAAAGGCATACAGTTCGAATCCATCAGCTGCTCAGCAGAAGAAAGATGAGCTAACTTCTCCAGTGAGATTTGTATAGCCCCTGAAAACCCACGAGAGGGTTAGCTTTTAGGGACTTTTTACTTGATGGCACACAACACAACACAGGGTGCTGGGAGGGAAGAATGCTCTGGGGGTGCAGTTCATCGGGGTGCACTGCTAACCCAAAGGCCAAACTTTTCGGATGTTTTGAATTCACCAGCAGCATGGGAGAAAGAAGGGCAATCTCCTATGCGATTTATCCTTGGACACCTGCTGGAGAGTCAGCTATAAATGGGTTTCAGCTGAACAACAAGACGATAGAGGGACACGGGATGAGAAGGATGGGGGCAGGGGGTGCAAGTGTGGATTTTTCTAAGCCAACTTTGTCCACACGCCATGGTATTCCCAGACATGCCTCAGTGGCAACACCCTATCAATGGTAGTTAATATCAATAATATCTACAAGCACTACGTTTTCTTAGGACTAAACAAAGTAGGTAAAGAGTGTTAACTCTGCAGTCAAGCTGTCGCAGTTCAAAGCCTGGCTTTAAAGCCTTTGTGACTTCCTTCCAGCTCAATCACTTCACCGGTTAATTAGATAGAACAGATTTTGTGTAGACTCGCGGACTTAATAAAACACAATGCCAAGCTGAGACCTTAAATGCTAGCCTTTGTCATTACTTACCTGCCGTGTTTTTACCACGTGCCTGGTGGGGTGGTTTGTGGCCACTGAATGGGTTCTAACTCCTGGGAACCCAGATGAGCGGTTAGATCTGTTCAACAGGGTTTTCAAAGCTGTGATCTTGGAGAGGCAGGTGGCCAGGCCTATCTTCTGAGGCACTTCTGGGTGAGTTCCAACCAAGTCTCTTGGCACTGAGTCGCTCTACATTTTAACAAAATCCCCAGCTGGTAATTACATAAGCAAAAGAGTCTTTCAGAATCACCCAGGGGATCTTGTTAACCTGTAGGTTCTAAGTTTGGAGATCTTGAGTAGAAATGTAAATTTTCAGCAGGCACATCTTGGAAGCCCTATTTCAAACTGCTATCCCAGCAGTGGAGCACTTAAACATTTACACCACCATTAAAGTAAGTGCAGGTACTTTCCCAGAATGTTTTCCTTTCATTATCGCACCAGTGCTCCCAAGTATCATAGAACAGACTCAGAAAGGTTAAGGAACTTTCTGTATGTCTTGCTGGTTGGTCCTCAACACAAAGGAAGATCGATTTTGGTTAAATCTTTAATGCCAATTTCATAATGTCTCCTTTTAAGTTCCCATCCGAGCTTTTAATACAAGAAGGAACCCAGGACTGATGTCCTTGTCTTACAAGAAAGTCTTGACGTAACCTAATTTACAGATGAGGAAAGTAGAGGCTCAAATAAGTGGTGAGCAAAGTCTAATCAAATACATTTTCTACTTGTAAATCTCACACTCTGAAATTTTACAAAAAAGTAACAATGCAAACATGTTGTCACCCAATTTTTTCACAAATCATGACAACTCTTCTCCCAGGAAGTTTTGGCCAACTCTCTCTAAAATCCCTAGATTTTGGCTTCCTTCAAAAGACCTTCCGAATGCTGATCAAAGTGGGTCACGAGTGAAAATGGAAGGCACACACCCACCCTCTTTTTGTTCCCTGGGGTGTAGAGAAAAGTTGGTTTCAGATGTCCAGTGAGGAATATTTTATTGTATTTCTGCCAAAAGATATTATCAGCTGAAGTATTCTGTGTCTAGGGGAAATTGGAGCCCATGAATAGTTTAACTCACAGGCTTTTCAAGAAGATAAAGACTAGCTATCTGTGCTTCTAAGCTCGTTTCTGTTGCAGAAAGGTGACCATTCATTTTTCCTGCGTGTTTGGGAAGAATTAGCTGTATGAATAGATGCTGGCATTTTTCTCACATGCAGCTGACCAGTGGAATTGCAAATCTGCCTCTGGTGTGAGGGCACAGAGAGAGAAGTGGACACACAAGGATCCTTGGGGAGCTGTGGGAGTGCCTTTTCACAGGGACATGTCTGAACACTCATAGACAGGGCCCCTTGATTATGATCCTGATTTAAATTGGATGCAATCCCTTTTGCCCTCACCTCTCCTCCATGTTCATACTTGTCTGTATATGTGGGTAAAATATACCCAAGAAAGCACATGCCAGCTCAACACTTTTCACATATATGATTCAATGGCACTGGTTACTTTCAGTGTGCACGCTGCCATTCGCCTTTACTGTCCTTTTCCAAATTCTTCCACCATTATTACCATAAACTCATTGCTCCCCAAGAAATAACTCCTCTGATTCACCTTCTCCTCCTACCCTCATTAAACATTTTGTTTTCTATAAAGTTTCTTACTTAATATTACTTAAAACACACCATGTTCTGGTCAGCCAGTCATGCATTTGTTGATGAACACTAAGAAAGTTCCACCTCTTGGCTATTTCTGAATGATGCTTCATTGATAATTGGTGTGCAGGCCACGCTGCTTCTTCTAAAATATGCTTTGTCATGAGCATTAGATAAATGCTGCCTCCCACATCTAATGTTCATAAAGACCCCATTGTAAAAGAGGAGAGGAATGCAGGATGCAGGAAATCAGGGTGAATCAAACCATAGCGTGGTTAACACTAATATTTGAGTCTTAGTTAGAGTCAACACCAATTATGGCCAATAAATGGAGGTTGCAACAGGTGACATTAGTCATTGATTCCAGGGATGTGAACAGCTTGCTTTTACATTAGTTCTATGTATCCTAAGAACACAAGTTTATCCCTGCTACTAAGTTAGAAAGGTATCAAATGGAAGTATCATTGCAAGAGGTCTTTCTTAGAAAAGGAGTCTTCCGAGCAGCTTACTGGATTTCACAGGAAATTCTTCTACTATTTCAAATGCTGGGAATCAAAGGAATATAAAGATGCGGAAGGGACATGCTGCTTTGGAACAAAGACTGTACAGTTTGCTGGAACTTCCTTTGTCCACCATCTAAGAACCCAATCTCAGCTGCAGGACTCCTGGGTGGACATTTCCAAAAGGGGTGTTTGCTGTGCTGAAAGGCATGTGAGATACAAAATGTATTATCTTACTTCCTATCAAAGGTGCTACCTGTGAAATTCGGAACTGTGAGGAAGACATTTGTTTTCCCTGTGTTTCTGTTCCTTGTATTTTCCTAAACCTAAGAACTGAGAATTTATATTTCAAAAGAGCTTAGCAACAAATTAGGACTTTTAAGTTATACAATCCCCTGGCTATTTTTGTTTGCTTCTATCAGAAATACTATGAACTTTGATAAATATTGATAGTTGTAGAGGTGCTTCAGACCTTTTGTTCACAGGATCACTATGAGTCATGCTCGGCTCAAAGGCAATAAACAACAACAACATCAAACACAAAAACGTTGCATATATTTAGATGCATTTTTTTCTATCAGTGAATAATTATTCTTCTCCAGACATGCTGCTTTATCCCTCTACTTCCATTGAGGGATATACCATTGTCTTTCTGTTCTTCCGAAATAATTGTAAGTTTGGTATATAATTCCATCAGTAACAGTTTTTCCTTTAGCATTTGGAATTACGCTGTTGAGTATCCTTCGTCTGAGAATAATGTGTTTTTGCTATACGCAGTGTTGATGTATTAAGTTTCATAATTTCAATGCAGTTAATAAAAACTCTAGTCTGTTATGTGATTATGAAATGTTGCTTCTTATTTGAAAATACTTAAGAGTTAATGTTCACCATCCTCTTTATTTTCTCTTCCAGGCTCAGAAATCTTGGATAGAAAGAGCATTTTATAAAAGAGAATGTGTTCACATCATACCCAGCACCAAAGACCCCCATAGGTAATTTTACAGTCTTTATAATACATAGAGAATGTGCAGTGGTAACTGTGGAAACTAATCTTGAATCGTAATTACTGCTGACTATAAAGGGATTAAAGGAACCCTCAGCTGTTAACCAAAAGGGGACAATTAAAACCCACCAGCTTCTCCTAGAAAAAGGTTAGGAAGCCTACTTCTCTAAAGGTTTCTAGCTTTGGAAACCTTACGGAGCAGTTCTCCTCTGTTTACAGGGTTAAGATGGGTTACAGTCATCTAGGCAATAGTGGATTTGAGTTTGGAGGGTAGGGGGATTACCGCCAAAGATACTTTTTTTGTCATTGGACATCTTTGAAGCAGTCATATATCTACTCAGCACTTACTATGCCACGTCAGTCGCAAGTTTCCCAAGAGCCCATGCAGGATAACAGATGCTGTGGCATGGGGGGTAAGGTGTTGCCCTGTCAACTCAGAGGCAGAAAGTTCTAATCCACTTGCTCCAAGGGAGAAGAAATAGGCAATCTCCTCTCATGCAATTTACAGACTCTGAACATCCATTGGAAGGTCAGCTGTGAGTCAGTTTTGACTCAATGGCACATAACAACAACAACAATCTACCATTTGGGTAGGAATTAAACCACTAAAAATACAGATGGGTATTTGTTCTTAGAATAGTTACATATTTTTTCTTCTAAATATCTCATCAAAATATAATACACTTATTTATGTTCTCCTCAGTATCTGAGTTGAGGGCAGATCACTGGGGAACACGGGGGGTGCAGTGGTTAAGGACTCACAGTTAATCAAAAGGTTGACAATTTGAACATCCCCCCTCCCCCCAGGAACTCCATGGAAAAAATATGTGGCCATATGCTCTATGAACTGTAAAGATTATTATGAATTAAAACTAATCTATAATGATTACTATAGCCTGGAAACCCGAGGGGCCAGTTTTAGTCTGCCTCAGTGTGTCACCTTTACATATGGGGTAAAGTGACATAGAAATGTCTGGAAAGGCCCTTATGAACAGAAAACATATTAAACAGTTCAAAATATGAACCATAAGACATATATAGTGTGTAATATCAGACATGTCACCTAGTCTTCACACTGTAATCCCTGAAGTGGTGTGACAGCACGCTGGCACCCTGTGTTTAATACATGGTAGCCAAGTGTTGTGTTGTGACTCTTGTTATCAATATCCGTGTGATGGTGGTAGTAATACATGAAGGACATTTCTGTGATAGAAGGAGTGCTTTGCAGCTTTTCAAATCTCTCACGGATCACTTTTTCACTATTTCTTTATGAACGTGAACCTTTAAGGCTGCAGAATTTTATTCCTGGTATTGGTTATGTGACAGTAAGTATCAATTGGAGGAGACCAATTAGGTTAAGACCCACATATGAGTACAATTCTGGATTTAAATGCACATGTCCACATTCTTGCTTTGTTGTTGTTCCTTGTCCTTTGTGCCAGATTTGATAGACAGGAGAAAAGAGTAGAAAAATCTAGGAAACTTCTGTCTTCCCGTGTCCAAGCTAAACAGTAGATCTAGCATGAAAAGGGAGAGTGGAGAAAGACAGGCACTAAAGGGAGGTGAGGAGAAGGAGGGGAAGACAGAGAGGCTGCGTCAGTCCTAAGGACACCACCAGCCACTCCAACCACACAGGAGATGCTACCTGCATGCTGAATGGGCTGTTACGTAGTGTTGAATTCTGTGTGTTTTCCAGCAATGGCTAATAAGCAGGGGTGATTTTTGTCTTTTCCGTTGTAGGTGTTGCTGTGGGCGTCTGATAGGCCAGCATGTTGGCCTCACTCCCAGCATCTCCGTTCTCCAAAATGAGAAAAATGAAAGTCGCCTGTCCCGCAATGACATCCAGTCTGAGAAGTGGTCCATCAGTAAACACACTCAGCTCAGCCCGACAGATGCTTTCGGGACCATTGAGTTCCAAGGAGGCGGCCATTCCAACAAAGCCATGGTAATCAAAGAGCCATTCAGTGACACTGTTAGATGGCGCCTTCAATCCTGCCATGGACTGACTGGTGGGAGCTTGGGATGTCATCTCAGGCATGAATCTCCACTCTGTGATTCTTGACTGAGTGACTTTGTTCTGCTCACCTTGACCCTTGTGTTTCTGCACTTCCTTTCTCAAGTGGAGGAAAGAAAACCTTCCTCTCAGGATTATATTTAAAATGTCAGACACAATGACTATAATTAATAGAAAATGGCTTTTAAAAACTATTCACTTTTTAAAACTATTCACTCTCTATTCTCTAACTCTCTTTCTTTCATTTTGATGATGATTCTCTTACCCTTAGTTTTTGTTTTATTCTGTTTGGGATCAGCATTTGTTGTTCCTCAAATAAGTTTTAAATGATCATCCCAGACTATTTCCATTCCTCTTGCCTTAGGAAGCTTGCCATCCAGATTGAGTATTTTTTTTTTCTCCGAACAGCTATTTTCAGTAGTGTTCTCAGTAAAAGCATTCCACATGAATAATATTTTTAAAAGGGGGGGGGAAGATCTTCTAGAAAAGATCTAAACTTTACTCACAAGAGCTGTCACTTTCAAACTTCAACTTTCATCAGGAGCCACTCCCTGAAGGACTGACATGTTTTAAGAGGAGAAAGGCACAGCCTCTGTTTTCTGAAGTTCTAGAAAAGCTGAATTCTTCTAGTTCTTAAGAGTTAAAAGAGAGAGAGTGCGTTAGCTGAGGGTGGAGTTGTTGGAGGCGGCTGCTCTCAGGCATGCCACAGTTTGGAAAAGAAATTTTGCTTAGAGAAGCATACTGCAGAGTAGAAGGGGAGTTCATCACCTCACATGAATCATAGCCTGAAATATGCAATCAAGGACTTTTCTCTTCTCCTCATCCCTTCTCATCCCCTCCCCCTACCGTTTTCTTGCCTTTCTACTCTCTTCTTTCCCCTCTTCACTCTCGCCAGTATTTTCTTTGCCAAGAATGGCTGATGTAGATATGCTCATAGTTCTTCTCTATGAAAATTAACTTTGAGGTATAGATTAAGTTAAGAAGACTTCTGAGCTGTCTATTAGAAAGGACGGCTGCTGTTTGTTGTTTCTACGTGCATCACGTCAGTTCTACATCCTGGTGACCCTTTGTGTGGTAGCGTGACGCACTGCCCGCTCCTGTGCAACCACCACTGTTGCAGCTAACATGACAATCTGTGTGGCTAAGGGTCCTCTACTCTGTTGACCCTTCACCTTAGCAATCACCATGTCTTTCTAGAGTACTAGTCCCCTCTGACAACAGACCCAGGGTAAATCAGGCAAAGTCTCACCGACATGAGCTAGGTGCATACCCGCTACACCTCATCCAGGACATGCTTTGTTGTTCTTCTGACACGTCCAATTCTTCAGCACCATCATTGAAATGCATCAATCCAACCAAAGAAGAACCAGTACTATTGCAAAATACTAGGAAGCCCTTGGAAAACAGAGTAAATTAGTTAGTCTTGATCTATAATAAATCAAGAGAAATGAGAATTTTGCAATTTCCTCATCCACTTAAGGAGCGGGATATATCCCATCATAAGAGGTCAGTAAGGGTCCTCAAGTAATGATAGTCCCCATTCACACTGTGAGGGTAAGCAATATACAATGTAGATTCTTTAGAATCATTATTGATGGGAGGAAATCACGGCAAAGCTCTGGACCATACTTTGGTCATGTTACTAGGAGGGGCCAGTCCTTAGAAAAGAACGTCATGCTTGGAAAGGTGGAGGGTCAGTGCAAGAGAGGAAGACCCTCAAAGAGATGGATTGACACAGTAACTATAGCAATGGACTCATGCATGTCAGAGCTGGTGAGGATGGTGCAGAATAGGACAGGGTTCAGATTGGTTGTTCATAGGATCGCTAGGAGCTATGCTTGACTCAACAGCACCTACGACACCACCATGGTCTTTCCATAAGAAAAGCGATGCTGATGATAAATTAACTTATCAGACAAACATAATCATAATGGACTGATCTACCCGGCAACTTTACAGAATGTCTGTATGGTGCCACCAGCATTGTGCCACAAACCCAGTGGGCAGGTAATCAGCCTCTAGTCATGATTTCATCAATACACAGAGTCAGTGAAATAGAAAACATGAACATGCATGGAAGAGCCATTGCCTCGAGAGACTCAAGAGTTGCACCTTCTAAGGTGTCACCTCCAGAAATTCTAAGGAAGACCTATTGATGTGTTTTCATAAAGTGCAACGCCCAGGAAGCACTGTAGGGCCATTCTGCTGGTTGTCACAGGGGCCCTATGAGTGAAGTAAACATGATGGCACGTAAACATAGTTACTGTCATTATGTCATGCCACAATATGTTCTGAGCTCCTCTGGGGACTGATTTCAGAAACTGTATAGATCACAAGAGAAGTTGATCCTAAGGATCTCAAATTCCTAAATCTTGGGCCTAGTCACAAAGGACTTGGACCAGTTTTTAAAAAATCAAATCTGTTCTCTAAAGATGTAGTTTCCCACCAGCTTCTCCATGGGAGAAAAATGAGCAGTCTCCTCCTGTGTGATTTACTGCCTCTGAAAACCCTCTGAAGGGTCAGCTAAGAGTCAGTTCTGACTTGAGGGCACAATAACAGAAACATAACTTAAATTATCTGGGCCTTCAGTCATTTTTTTAAAAAAAATATAGTCATAGTAATGCTTCTGTCATAAACTGTCATTAAATGAGATAACATGTAAAACATTTACAAAGCACATCACAAGACAATGTAAAATTAATTTTAGCTGTAACTTTTATTGCTACCCACATTATCATTTGCTTCAGGCTCTGAAAGAAATGGCAAAAACATTTTGATTACCACTTTAGAGAACACTCTTTTGAATGTATAAGTTGTAACATATTATTTCAGAGAGTCAAATTATACTCTTTCCATTAACCCTTTAAAATAATTCCAGATGTTCTGATGCCTTAGCCTAGTGATGGAGGGCAGACTCTGAAGCCACACTGCTGGGTTTATAATGCAGCTTTATCATTTACGACTATATGATTTTACCCAATTTACATAACCTCCCAGTGCCTCATCTCCTCATCTGAAAAATGGAGACATGAATTCCTATTTCTCTGTGTTGTTGCAAGGACATTAAGTGTTTACTCCTGAGTCTGGTATTAAAGGTGGACAATTTTTGGCTATTATTATCACTCTTGTAAGGATTCCCTTGCTATAGCTAAGTAAGAAGCTTCCGGATGAACTACAAGATGTGTGAACTTCGAAGTCAGACACACGGACCTAAGCCCCTCTCTCTGTCTAGCTGGAAAGTCTTAATGAAATTGAATTTAGTTGAACCTCATTTTGCCCATGTCTGTCAAATGGGTGACGTTCCTTTTGTTAATGTTTATGAGGATTATGAGAGAATACGCTTGACTACGAGCCAAAAACGGTTGGCTGTTTGAACCCACCTAGGGAGCTGTGTGGGCATAGTCCATAGGAAGTTCAGCTGTTAACGCAAAGATGCCCCCTCTCCAATGGCGTCAATCAATCAGTGGCTCCAAGGGATAAGGATAGGATACACAAGCTTTTCGTGTGCAGTTACTGTTTCCGAAAACCTGCTGGAGGGCCAGCAATGAGTCGGTTCCAACTTGACAGTAATCAGTTTGACTGAGTTTGACAGACATCTTGGGAGATAAGCCTAGAAAATCCTGTGACACCATTCCTACCAGGGACCACCGTGAGCTGGAATTTACTTGACAGCATTGAGCAAAGGCAACATCTAACTAGTGCTGGAACTATTTGTGAAATGGTTACCTATTTATTAAAACAATAGTGATGGTATGGTAAAGCAACTGCCTTTACTTCCCAGAAGTCCAAAAATGTATTAGAATATTTTCACAGACGTGCCAGGCTGCATAGACCAGCAATCTACTGCTGCACTATATTGAAGAGAAATACACATGGGGTCATTGTGAGTCAAGGTCGACAGGACAACAACTAGTGTTGCCATTAAGAAGTACACCACTGATGTGGGGCCTCTAAAGAAGAGGCATACCTTGTACAGTTTGGAAGGCTTGAAGTTCAAATCTGGACATAGCTCTAGGGCAGAGTTCTTCCTAGTCTGTTTGTTGGAGTTCCTTGGCTTCTTGCTCCACAGCTCCCGTGCATGTCATTATGTCTATTCTGGACTTTCTAACTCAGAAGCAATTCTCTCTCTCACTTTGCCATCTAGTCAGAACTGACTCAGAGCTGACCGTCCAGAAGGAGATTGTCCATTTTCTCCCATGGAGCTGCTGCTGGTGGATTGCAACCACCAGGGATACCTGGTTAACAGCCCACCTCCCTGTGGACCACTCCACCAGAGCTCCCAGAAGTGATTGCATTTAGGACTTAACCCACACTGGGAAGGCTGCTTTAGCATAACAAAATAAAGACTCCATCCCAAATAGGATTCCATCCTCCAGTACAGAGACCAGGACTTCAATACATATTTCAAGGGGGCATAGCTCAATCATAATAGTGATTAGACAGGACTAGTCATGTGTATAACCATTCATCATTGACTGGAGATAATGTGGTTAGTTAAGTTGTCATATTGTACAACTTCAACTTTCCCATTTAGGGACTCTCCTGCTTCCGCTCATTTCCACGGAACAGAGAGTGAGATGCTGTTGCCTGACATCTTCACTTCATTCACTATGTGCCTCTAAAATCAGGTGCAGATCTTGAAGCTACCATGGGCTTGAACTTGTGCCTTGTGTTGCTGTTATTGCTGTTTGGTGCTGTCAAGTCAACTATGACTCAGAGCGATCCTATGAACAATGGACCTTGCCCAGTTCTGTGCCATCCTCATCATCTCTAAAATACTCCAGCTCAATGTTGCAGTCACTGTGCCAATCTATCTTATTGAGGGTCTTCTTCTCTTTTACCAACCCTCCATGTTTCCAAGCATGATTTCTTTTTCAATGACCAGTTCCTCCTAAAATATTGCCCAAAGTACATGAGACAAAGCTTCGTTA